TTCTCAGTAGCATATGCAGAGAATTTCTTGCGCTATCTGATGGTATAATTGCCGTTTCACCATTGCTTGATAAACCCCCTTTTTTCAAGATTTTTTCAAGCATGTGAAAAGAGCACTTCGGACGATTTTTTCTTCGACTATAAATTGGGGCAATCCGCAATCGAAACAGCTCAACAAATTAACCAGGTGTGGGGGCCCAATAGTGCTAGAGAAAGCACTGTGCGGCAATGGCTCAACAAATTTCGTTCTGGAGATTTCAGCCTTGAAGATGAACCTCATAGCGGTCGACCTAAAGCAATATCTGACGAGGATTTTAGGGGGATTTTGGAGGCTGACCCATCCCAAACAGTTCGAGAGATGCTGTACTCTACTATTGACCTCCTTGGAGTGCTCTTGCGAATATTTCATTTGCCAGCTATGATCCCCACTCATGAATGTTTTAATGGACTTATTGCGACAGAAATCCAAGAATTCCTTTGCAGAGCAACCGAGGACAGCAAAAGAGCCATCACTACAGCGTGTGCCACAAGTGCCACAAGAAGAAGGTAATACTAGTTGTTCACCTTTTCACTGCACTGGAAAGGAAGACCCTTCATGTCATTAAGCGTTTTTAGCATCATTTGCACTCTATGATGTTCTTGCATGAAACAAGAATGGTGGTTCATTGTTCCCGAGGGGTTCCAACAATGCCAGTTACGAGATAGTCCCCGCAGGCAGAGAGGTATGGGAACAGTCGGTGGGGACGCTCATGTCAAAGGCAACGCCTCGCCCACTGCTTCACCCCACGCTCAGTTCTATGGAAACCACGGTGGTATAATTTTATTTGCCTTCTAAAATCATCAATTTCGATTCTCAGCGTGTGAGGCACACCTTGTTTGTCCATCAGTTGCCGTCGCTTGTGCGCTTCAACACTACATATGAGGTGAACGAGCTGGAGCGGCGTTAAACCAAGCTCAACCCCCCCCCCACCCAACACGCGCTAACGATTGTATCCTGCTTCGAACTCCATGAACTACACTCTACTGCGCCCATGCGGCTAAAATGTAAGGCATTCAAGCGAATGTTGGCGCTCGACTAGAGAACAGCATGAGGATAGGGGAAATGACGGCGTCAGACGACCAAACCCCTACTCTTCCATCTTCCACTCCCGCTGCGTCCTCTCCCTTGTCTTTCGAAGTTTTCTCAATTTTCTTTCGTTTTCACGGCTGGTGAAATTTCTATCAGGATCCAATGCAACTCCACCGAATACGACGACTCCCTGACTGGACTCATCCATAACGCTACATCCTACACATGGCGCAGTTGAACCGCAGTTTCGGACACTTCGGTTTTACCATCTTTGATCTCCGCTCAGTGGTAATGGCCCTATTCCAATTGAAATCTGAGAATCCCTTCCCAGGGCAGCCGAAGACAGCAAAAGAGCCATCACTACAGCATGTGCTTCAAGACACAAGAAGAAGGTGATCCTATTCGTTCACCTCTTCAATCCCCTAGGCCACGACGCCCTTCATTTCATGCCACGATCTCTCGCATGATGTAGGTCCCTTTGAATGCGCTAAAAAGGGTGATTCATTATTCTCGAGTGGTTCCTGCAGCGCCATGTACAGTCCTCATCATTGCGGACCGGTGGGGCGTGGCAGTGCGGCTGCGTTTGGTGCGGTTTGGCAAAGTCGTTCTGCACCAGTTTTTGAAGCGGGCAAGTGCATTACTGTATTATATCCTTCGTATTACTCGTTTTCTACCACTTTTTGTCGCATACGCGTTTCAAAAAGGCTGAGAACGGCTTCAACAGTGTGCACACTCCTACTGGCTGACACGCCCCACCGGTCCGCAATGATGAGGACTGTACAAGTCAGTACAGTGCGCAGCATACAGGTTCCTAAAACGCGATGAGGATGCTACTCACTCAAGCAGAGTCAGTTCCCCGCCCACTGTTGCCCAACGCTCAGTTCCATCGACACCGTGTGGCGTATCTATGAACTTTCCTCTGAAACTATCAATTGCGATTCTTAGCCTGCGGCACACCTGCTTTTTTGAACTGTCATCCTGAAGTGAACTTTTAATTGAATGTTCTTCTAATGTGTTTTTCAAGCGCAACCACCAGTGGCAAGGGAACCGGAGAGGCAACCAGAGCCACAACAGGCAGAAGCGCCCGCTCAATTCCAGCCACAACAGCAAGATGGTCCTTGGCCAACATGGGCTGTTCGACCGCCTGAACTTCTAGTGCAAGGGACACAAGAAGAAGGTTATTTCTTTCTTCACCACTCATCATTACCTGTTTTCAAATAACTTACACTGCACACACTTCAGAGACGCGGTGGGCGTGGCTACGAACCCCATTTGAACATGGCGTACGATGCTTATGTTGCGTTCATACTTTGCGGCAGCGTCTACCGTCCACCCGCGTCCGCAAGCGATCACCAGCATCTCGAAGGGCTAGGGAAGCATGGATATCAATCTACGTCTACCGGTGTCCACCAGCGACCATTAGTACAGTGCTGTGTAGTAGCGGTGCGGTTACACACGCCACAATTTCACGACGCCTAATCTAGCTGTCTCCTCCGTCCTACTTTCCCATACTCTACCAGCAGTCTGCTATTCTCTACTTCCCCATACTCTCTACTCCTGGTGGCTGGTGAACGCTGGTAGACGCTAGATCGATACCTCTTCTCCTAGTCCCTAGACGCTGACGGTCGCTGGCGGACGCTCGTGGACGCTCGTGACGTTGCTAGACGTGACCGTTCGCCAGATCAATATCTGCTTTCCTAGTCGCTGACGCTAACAGACGCTCAAAACGCTGATGGTTGCTGGTGGTCGCTGGTATGCTTACGGCTACCCTGGACCCGACGACCGTAACCGCCGCAAACATTACATACTGCGGATCCTCGCTAAAATCTCTAGTAATTTCCTTGTTGTTCCTTGTTGCTATAAGAACAAGCGCTGGTCCAAATTCATGTGTGTAACCCTTTTTCCATTTACCAGGCGTGAGACTTGTCCCTGATCAGCACACTTTCGGGAATTTTAGTCACAGCAACTAAAATTTCCGAAAGAGTGCTGGTTAGGGTGGGTGGCTTTGGCGATTCGCCATTCCGTTCTTCACCAACTGCGTAATTTGGCAAGCAACCACAATCGGTGAATCTGGAGCCGTGCCAATCCCGACCTCCCTGACACGCCCCACCATCCGCAACAAACAAGGCTGCAATAGAGTGACAGTCCTACATAGAATGGCAAATCAAGTCACACAGTAATTCAATATGTCTTTTGAAGTGAGACCAGCGTCAAACGAGCCAGTTCAACCAGTTGACAATGAGCGATCTAAATGTAAGCGTTTGAGGAGAAAGCTTGAATTTTTCAAGAGTTTAGACCTTACAACCAGGATACAGTATCGGGATAAGGTGAATTGGAGCTATCAATACGACCGCCTCATCAACCTCGCACATCTTTCAGCTTCCTACCGGTTTCTAGAAAAATTTTACTGGTTTTCCCCCAAGAAAACTGGAATCGGGCGGAAGGAGAATTATATAGCGCGCAGGTAACGGGAGAAAATCAACAGCCAGAAAAACTTCCCCTCATTGCTTCGGGAAATTCTCTTGGTGACAGATGCCAACTCTCTCTTTGATGAAATCAAGTCTGACCCTCCTATGGGATTCTCCCAACGATACTGTATCCTGCCTTTAACATTTACCTGTCCTGGAATCGACTCCTATTCGGTGCAAACGACAGGCCCTCTGCCTACTGCAGATCTGGCACCTGAGATGAACAAGGAGCAAGAGCCAAGACCACCCTCAGCAGAATGTGGACCTGAAGCTCAACAACAAGCTGGAATGATGCCACAAGGTGAACCTCAACAGCAAGTAGCGCCACCCGATTATCAACAACCGGCACCACAGGACGAAGGTAAGCTTGTTCTTCGGAATTTTGGCGTTGAGAATAAGTCGCGTGAAACGAGACTTCATTCTCTAGTGTTTTAATGAAGAAATCCAGCGCAGAGAAAAAAGAAGTGTTAGAATGACAACCCTTTTGATGTTCTGCCCAACCCTTTTGATGTTCATTGTACATTGGTTCTTGCCCCCTCCCCCGACCTTCTTTCCTTACTAGTGGTCAGTTAGCCAACTCCCTCTATTCTCGTATTTCTATAACTATCCATCACCACTTGAACTGATAGGTGAACTAAAGATAGCGCCCGTAAATTGAAGATCTCCCTTTACAGATTGTA